GGGGCGGGCCCCAGCCATTTAAATTTAAATGAAGCCGCGATTATTTTAATCGCGGCTTCATTTCCCTTTTCCGATCTGGCTAATCTACATGCCTCCGTCGAAGGAGGCATGTAGTCTAGACACACCCATAGTACTTTCCGCTAAGTAACAAGGCAGCTGGAATTCAAACCTAAGGAACCAGAAATAAGAATTTATGTGCTCTAAACACACAGCCATCATGGATGCTCCAACACTTGGATACTCCAACATTTCTGTTAGTCTATAAGGTGCCACAGGATTCCTCGCCACTTTTGCAAATCTGAGTCTGACATGTAGTGGAATATGGACTATTTCTCGTAGTGGAATATGGACTATTTCTCTTCAGTTTATGATAACTTTGGTCTCACCAAGAGAAGTTATTCCAGTAAAAGATATTACATAATCCATCCCCTCACTTCATTTTATCTAACAAATTCTCCAAAACTCCACTAGGTGGCAGTTTAATACTTCTGTGTTCACTGCTGTGTTGTTTATTAATCCCACAGTACTCATGGCTAAGTAACAAGGCAGATAAATTCAAACCTAAGCAACCAGAAATATTAAGAACTTCTATGATGCTCTAAGCACAGAGCTATCAAGAACATCGCCAATAATACTGAGTGCCTTGAGTCCACACTGTAGGACAAAAATATGGGAAGTGTTTGATTTTGTTTGCTGACGACTATTCCCTGAATGCCAAATCTGAGTCTGACATGCAGTAGAATATGGACTATTTCTCTTCAGTTTATGATAACTTTGGTCTCATAAGGTGTATCTACACAGCAAAGTTTTTCGGAACAATGACCATTATTCCAAAATAACTACGTGAGCATTCACACAGCAATTACATTATTTCAAAATAATTTAGATATAAGGGATGGCTTATTCCGACTTCTGTAAAACGTATTATATGAACAATAACACCTATTCTGAAATAGCTATTTCGAAATAAAGTGTATTTAGATGCTCCACTTCTGCTATTTTGAAACAGCCCCTCACCAGGGCCATTCTGTTATTCCTCCTGGGACTCTAAATCGAGATAGCACATCTACATTAGGGAAGCCTGCCTTGGATTAATTTTTGAGGTTTTCCTGCAGCATAGACATACTATTTCGAAATAAGCTATTTCAGAACAAATATTCCAGAATAGCTTGTTCCGAAATAACTGTGCTGTGTAGACGTAGCCATAATGAACATCAAGAAGACAGAAATGATTTACTAGCCTGCACCTGGAAAGCCTTAAGTAGAGCCTATTATCACAGTGAATGACCAACCTTCCAGGCAATGGACAAGTTCATGTACCTTGGTAGTACAGTCATGTACAGTTCACATCTATGATAAAGTCAACACCGGAATGGCCAAAGCAAATGTGGCCTTTGACAGACTATGTGCAAATATGTAGAGGCATTTGTGAGCAAACTAAAATGCAGGTCTGCAAAGCCATCGGGTGGGTAAGGCTGATGTGTGCATACACCAGAACTTGGATGGCCACTACAGATGGCATGTTAGGAAGTATCCATTCTCTAGGGCAGTGTTTCCCAATTGGTGCTCCGGGGAACGCTGGGGATCCGCAAAGAGAAAGTAAGGGTTCCGTGAAGAGCCGGTGTATAGGCAAAAAGTGAAACCTCTCCGTTTTTGTGACCGTCACAGTTTCTGTCATACATACATGACATTTGGTACAACTGCTCAGGAATTGCTACCTTTACTGGCTGGTTGCAAATTCAGAGAAACTGTGTTTTTTGGTAGAAAAATCTCTCAATTTGCTACCTCCTGGCTAACCGGACTCAGGGGATGCTGGTGTTTTGCCTTGGGCGGGGGCCTTTTGCTGAGAAGTTAGTGTTTCGGTAGCTGCACCGGCACCTCCGACCCCTTAAAGAGACAGAGCCATGGCGAGGGCTTTTTTCAGGGGCCTTTTTCTTTTTAAGGCAACTCTAGGGGTTCCATGGCCAAATAAAATGGGGAAACACTGCTCTAGGGACCAAATCCCAGATGAGAGGAACAGGCCATAGAATGTCAGATAAGCGATTGCTAAAGAAGATCTTTTACGGGGAGCCCAGAAGAAACAATTCACAGCGTGTATGGGGGAGGGAGGGTGTTAAATCGGAAGGTAACTAAAAAGAACCCCAAGTAGCTACGTGTAATACGCAGACTTTAAAATATCCCTTGGGTTTCAAGGGTGAAG